TGTAGTATATTAAGTTCATCTGAAGGATAAATGGTGTGCCTAAACACCTGGGAGAAATTTAAGAAACTTGTTTCTGGGGTTTATGCTATGGTGTGGCATGTGACCTGCTATGTATGGGCAGGGCTGTATCATCTTCAGTCCCATATGGCAGCATAAAAACTTTTAAAATCAACTCAACAGTCCACACCAACAGAGCTGCAGATGCTTCAATTATACCAAGACTCTACTGTAAGTACTGCAGTGAAGTATGGTGTCTCCTTGCCTACATGGAGTTTTGAAGTGGACATGAGAACATAGAAATCAAACCAGCAGAGGAAGGGAATGCTTTTGATTCAAGGTACTGGTTAGTATTCTAAGTGGCATCCAGATCTTGGATATCACCCTGAGTAGTAGGTGGAATTGATTTTGATACCATTTTAGCAAAGTAGGTGATAAAATTATTGCAGTATTGATTTAAGTATGCATAATTTAAGTCTTTCATATGTGTGGCTTACATTTTAAGAGCAATGCTTTAGGAAACAATTTATTGGTGCTAATTTAATTTCTCCTGTTATATAGTGCATGTTACTCTGTATGTGCATGGATGTATAGCTTTGTTTCTTTTTGACAGTATCCCCAGAAAACTTTTTGTCTGTAAGATATACTAAAGTTATGTTTTGTTAAAATATAACTTGGGTTTTCTGTACAATTTTCTATACCATTTCTGTATTTGTTGTATCAGATATGTAAACATTGCCCCCATAGATTATTTTACTCTACAGCATAAATGTCTACTTATTGAAGTTTAAAATTCAACATCACAGAAAAAGCTGTGCAGTTGGGGTGCTATAAAGTGTGGCATATTCTGTAATGATACCATCTAGTAAAATAACTCTGAGGAAAGGATTTGCCTCCTCTTTGAGTATTGCACAGGTGAACGCATTAAGCAGAGAATCATTCTGTAGAAGAAAAATTGAATGATTCCTTGTGTGAAAAAAAAACTTTAGATTGATAGAGGAAGGAAAGTTTTCTGAGGGAGTCCAGTAAATAAAGTAACTGCTCTGTAGTTTTGTGTCACCATTACATATCTCTGATTTGCTGTATTGTAGCAATTACCTGTTCCCTGATCAGTAACATAAGCCACAAACTTCTGAACCACTTAAAAAAATTGTGGAGTGATAAGGAATAGAATTTACAGAATTGTGAATTAGTTTGGGTGAACTGAAAACTTCTTGGACAAAATCCTGTAGGACTGTAAAAGCTGTTTTATTCCTTGAAATGTCTTTCTTACACTTGTATTAAGATGTTTTGAGTAAGATTTATTTAAACAAAGCAATAATGCATTTACTGACTGTAAGAATATAAGCATGTTTTTGTAGGACTGTATCTTCTCAATGGTTCTTACCAAAGTCATCTTTCAAAGCCAATAGGATCAATTTAAAAATAATGTCATAAAATACAAAGAAGCAGTAAAAAAAATTACATCTGTGTCCAGCAGGCCTCATGGGGCGCAGCTGATGCTGACTTTTCAGTGGTCTTTTGTTCACAGACAAAAGACCTACTCAGGATCCACACAGAGGCCAACCTCAGGATATTAAATTGTGTCTTTGGTGGTTTTGTCATCTTGCTTGAATTTGGCTTCAGTGTTAGTACTGGAGAATAGTGATTCCATAGGACAAATATTTTTGGTTGCATTTCTGATGTACTCTGTAAGGTACAGGACTTATTTTTGGCTGCTATAAATTGTGTGCTTTATTGAATACTGTAATCCATACAGTGATCCAGCCCCTCATGAAAGCCACCAATCTCTCATTCTTCTTAATGAAAAGAAATCAGTGTGGGAAATCAGTTTCAAAAACTGCCACTTAACTGGGTGACAGGGAATATGGTTCTTATTTGAGTATTGTGCTGTAGTCCATTCTTGCAACCAGATAGTACTTAAACTTTGTAGCTGCAAAAGAAAAAATACTGCATCTGTGTTGGGTGTGGCTGGGCATTGACAATGGTTTTTTTGGGGAGAGTACTTAGCATTTTTGAGCTGAGCCATTTCATTACATTATTTCCTATTGCTGTGGTGTGCAGAGGTAGGAATGTGCTATGCTGGTGTTGAACAGGATTGTGCCCCATCATGCTAAATACTGTCAAATCCGTATAAAGGTCTAGTTCTGAGTAATTTACAGCCAGGAGAGTTCATCAAGAAGGGGGAAAGTTTTTTTAAAGCCTAATCTGGTGATAAATTGACTGGAGATTCAAGTAGTCTCCATAATTCCCTTAGCTTTTCAGGACTACCCCAGCAGTAGTGATTGCACCAGCCCCTGTCCCTGACATGCTGAAATACTCTTGGTCAGGATCAGGATATACCTGGGTGTCCTGATTGAATCACCCAGCACATAATGGCCATTACAAGTTATTTGGAAAACTAGATACACTGCTGCCAAGTGAGATTGTGCAGGAAAAGGATGCAGCTCCATGCTGGAGCTTAGGGATGGAGTAAAAATTAATGTAGCCTATTAAAGCTAGAGAGGAAAATTAGGCAGGAAGATTATTACTTGATTTGGGATTTAGATTTGACACTGGAACTGTACTCTGTTGCTGGTTGTTCAGTTTCTAGAGTTTAGGACTCTTCTGGGGTAAACAAAAAGTAGTAACAACAAGGAGTAGCAACAAAAGTAGTCTTTGCATTTTCATGAATTGAAAAATAGTATTTCAAGTGAAAATAAAAACTACTTGTATCCTCAAAGGATGCTACTTTTTGTAGCTTTGTACTTTTTAAAATATGAACTGTACACTTTAGGAAAGGAATGATTAATGAAGAAGGGGATGTCAGCATGCTTCACCAAGTCATTTAGAAAGAGAGTGGTATCCCTGGTGTGGAAGAGGCATTCACATCCTATTTTCCTAGTTTTTCATTCTACTCTTAAAATGTGTCCTCCATATTGGATATTTTGCAGTGGTTTTCCATCACTCTGGCTTCACTTTACTATAAGTAACCATGGATATGCATGTCTGTGCTTGGGAGAAGGTAAATTACTGATTCCAACCCATGCTTTTAGTTATGGACTAACTCTTTTATTGAGGGTGGCTAGAATGTTCAGTGTGTCAGTGAAAGTACAGATGTCTCAGGTGGGTCAGGCACAGTCATGAGGTCAGTAAAAGGTATGATTGGGTTTTTAAAAGCAAAAGTAGCTGAGCTTACATGCAGTAGTAGTTCTTTGTATCCAACCATATCCAACTTGGATCCAGGGCTTTATTTCAAGGCTGTGCTTTTGGTTTGGGCAATTTGATGGAAGCCCAGCTCACGTATTGTGATGTGCCCTTAAAAGGGCTGATCTCTCTCTCTCTCTGCATGGGTTGTAAGTGGTCCTAAGTGCAGTTGCCTAATCTTTACTTTCCTTAAGGATAGCTATCATAGAAAGAAGGGGTTCCTCTTGGAGACCCCCTCAAGGTAGGATTAAAGCAGAGGATTGTGAGCTCCTCCATTGTAATCGCTAGACTGCTATAAAATGTTCCCTAATCTTCCTATCTATGTGATATATTCATAAGGTTGGACTCAATGATCTTGGAGGTCTTTTCCAACCTTAATGGTTCTATATATTTATATATATGCGTCTGTGCACATATAAAAACATTTAAATAAAATTCCTTTTTATTCATTATGTTTTTCATTTCTCTGATAAAATGCCTGTAGCCAGGTAGAATTTCTGTGAGGAGAAAGAAAAAAACATTGCATCTTTTAAAATTTTAACAAGTGATTAAAAGTTTCCCCTTTTTTAATTTGAGAATGTGATCAGGTTACAGAATCTGAGTTGTGTCTCTGCCCTAATGTGAACTCATCTGGTTGTCACTTCCCAAGGCCTATAATACAGGGAGTTATCAAGATCCTGAACAAAGACAGACAATCTTTATACAGTGAAAAAGAAATTTTTTATTTTAGTTGTTTAGTAAAAAAATAATTATAAAGGCAATCTCTAATGGAAGAAATTTAGATTGAGGCAGTTGCTTTTAATTATTAATTTGGGGGGTTTAAGTGTTTGGGAATCTTACTGAAAGCTTGGTGGCAATTCAATTACAAAAGCATGTGCAGATATTTCAGTGTCATACATATGTTTGTGTACATTTCTGGAATCTAACTGGGATGGGGGAGAAGGACAGATGAAATCTGATTCTCCATGTTCCTCCATTTTCTTCTCTGTAAGATGATGGTGTTTGGATTTCATGCAATTTTACATGTCACTCACGCTCTTGGCAAGTGACTGCACAAAGATAATAGCAGCAGGAGAAACAGAGCTCTGCTCTTCTGGGCTCTTACAGAAAGACTGGATTGCTCTCTTTGAGCCAGTACATGGATGAAAGTCTGCTATCAAAGCCTCATTTACCAAAGAGGTAGATAGCAATTTTATGTATTGAGGGAACAAAAAAAACCAGCCTCACTCTTGGACACCTGCCTTTCAGATACACATTTGTCAGTCAGAGAACTGAGTGCTGTAGATGCAAAGCAAACACTTTCATGTCTTCTCTGAATATATTTTAAGGCCAGTTTTCCTGCATGGGTTTCCATAATGGTTATTGTATATAATTTTGTAGCTTCTGCAAGCTATAATTTGGTCCAGGCCGCATAACTTCCAGATGGTCTTGGATAAATAGGAGTTGAACACTTGTTATAGATGCTATTCCAAAGATCATTTTCCCATATGCAGTGTTGCATATGTTATTTGTGACATACAGCTAATGACAGAAAGCAGTAACACCACCATCCCTGGAAGTGTTCCAAAGGCATGTGGATGTGGCACTTGGGGACATGGTTTGCTGGGGAACACTGTGGTGCTGATTTAATAGTTGGACTTCATGTTGTAGATCTTTTCCAGCCATAGTGCTGTTATGATTCTATAAACACTTCCTATAAATGTTGCTTGTATGTGTGAAGAATGCCTCTCAAAATGTGTAGTTAACATTTGAATGTTTAGATACTTTTCAGAGCTAATGAAGACATTGTTGTTTCGTATTTTTTTTTTTTTTTTTAGATACTGACCGAGCTTTAGTACTGCTGGAAGAATATTGCAAAAAACTGCGGAAGCCAGAAGAGCAACAACTGAAAAAAGCCATCAGAAAGGTGATGGGCATCTTTAAGAGCAGCTTGTTTCAGGCACTCCTAGGTAGGTACTAATATTTAGTATTAGGTGCACTGTCTTGGAGGCCAAAGCTAGGTCAGACCTAGTAACTTTCTTATTAGTCACTATTTAATTTTGTGTTTATGGTGAAAAGCATGTTGAAGTAATCCTTACAGGTTCTCTGAGCAGAAACTCATCGTCCTGATATTTTAAAGGTATTTTCATACTTACAGAGAAGGAAAAGTAACAGAAACCTAATAAAAGTTTAGGAGTAATTATTCAATATCTTAACTTTGCTGCTTTGCTTTATTTAATGGAAAATATAGAATCAGAGTAGGATATAACTGTTTATGCAAAGATGAAGCCATCTTCACAGGTAAATTATCAAAGTTTAATGGATTTCACTGTCACCAAGTAGCCTTGAAAATTTTTGTTGTTTTGAATTATGTTTTTGTGAAATGTTTCAGCAGAGAAACTCAAAAATGAGTTAAGAAAATTGCTCTAGGACACAGTTTCACAGAATGTTCCCATTTGTGTGGTGTTGCAGTGTTCAAATAGATGTGCTGGTGTATCACTGTCTTTCTTCCACTTGAAGATCCCTATTTCATCTTGTAACTGATGTTAAAATCAAGCGCTCGTTGTTTTGGAGCCTTATATAAAGCAACCTCCATAAGTTGTTATGTATAATGTTTTCAAGGTCATGCATGTTTGCCTTGGCATTTCTTTGTTCTTGTGCTGTGCCTGGGCCGCCAGTCATGGGAAATGGTACCTGTGACTGTGCATCTCCCTTGCTCTACCTCCCTTTGCCCTTTTGCTCACATTTCATGGCCCTTCCTTCATGCACAACTACATTTTGTGAGGAGCTTGTCTCAAGGGTGCATTTCCTAACACAAATTATGTTTGTGGAAGTCCACATGCCTTCAGCTTATGGCTGTTTGAAGCCAGAGTATCAGCTGTGCTCCTTGCAGAGCTACAGTCAAGGCCAGTTATGGAAAAATTTATGATTATGCGTCATAAAAGTGGAAGCACATCAATAATGCATTATTACTGGGAAGACAATGGAGGTCTGGGACTAGTTTCAGGAATTCCCGTAGCATTTGTAGAAAATGTGTACTACCAGTCTCTAACATTTCCTACAAATGGAATTCATTAATGTTAGTGCTATTTTACTTGTAACTTTTGTTAACTTCTTTAAAGCGATGAGCTTTATTTTATAAACTCTGCATAATTTTAGTTGCTCTCTATGCTTTAAAAAAGGAAAGGGATTAATAATTGAATTTACCAAATAGTTGTCAATAGATTTGAAAATAAGGAGAAAAAAAATTGGACCTTTCCATATTGTCTTTATGAAGGTGACTATGGATATAGAAATGTGTACTGAAGAAATACGCTAGTCACAGAAGTGACATTAGTTGTACATTTACTTCTGCACTACTTGGAAGTAATTAGGGTACATCATAGTTTTCCAACAACATGTGTGCTTTGTGTGTGGCTGCACTAAAATATCTGTTCTAACGTGTTAGAAATGAAAAAGTGATTATATCTACAATAAGGTTGAATCCAAAGAAGAACTTGCATCCTTTGATTGCTACAATAACAGATAGAGGAGCATGGTGTTACAGAAGTTAGCATTTTAATTTGTGAGCCTTTAGACGTCTTTCCCTGCTTCTTAAATGCTTCCTTTTATAGTAGAGATTTGGGAATTGCAAGACATGTTCAAAGTCTCTCATTAGTACATTTGGTTTGTTACTTGGTTGGTCTGGATTCTAGAATCCTCTGTGAGAGGAGACATCCCTCACATTTTAATCATGGCAGATGATGTTATTACACAATCAATAATGAGGTTTTTGCATAATTAGTATTTAAAAAGACCCTCACTTCCATAACATCTGTTTTGGTTTCATGGCATAGTTTCTCTATTCATGTATAAATCAGGCCACTACACAAAGGAATACTTAAGGCAGAGCTTCTGGTCTCTTCTTAAGTTCTGTACTGCTAATCTTCCTTTGTCTTTTATATTTGCAGAATGTCTAATGGTCTTGAAAGTGTCCATTTTTCTGAGCCTGATCTTAATGAGACTTAATTTCCAGAATTTGAAAGTTCATTGCTTTCCAAAACACTCTCATTTATAGCTGTCAAATATTGGTTATATCCAGCATGATTGACCTTTTGAATATTTAGGCTATAAGTCCTAATGAAAAATGATTTTTTTTTTTGTACAGAACTGGATACAGAGGTGTGCATTCTTACGAGGAATGAGGTGAACATAAAATTATGTGCCAACTCTCACAACTTCAGTGGAATTTGGTTCCTTTAGAAATAAATTTATCCATTGTAACCATCTCTGCTCTTTAAGTGTGGGTTCAATTCTTATTAATTTCCAAAAGGCTTTGAAAATCTGTTGGGTGTCTTAAATTGAGTATAGCAACAACAGTTAAAGAAAATAATAAGTCACTTTTCAAATCAAGGATAGTCTAGCTCCTTTTATTCTCAAAGTTATGCTTGTGTGATTATGCTGATTTGATTCAGCCATCTTTGAACTTGGCTTCTCAATGTGTGTGTGACTATTTTTATCTTCAATGTGTTTCGTAAATATTAAATGTGGACTACTGAACAGTGGGGTAATATGAGAGAAAGGAAGATTCAATATTTTTCTTGCATATATTCTACACATGCAAGGAGACACTACAATAAGGAAAAATTCTGTAAGTGCTTTACAGAAGGATTATTGAAGGATTGTCCTTTTACATTTTAATTAGTGTTTAAAAGCGTTCTCTTCTCCCTTTGGGCTGTTCTTGTTGCTGGACTTCTCGCTAGAGTGGCTGTGCTCAGTGACAGCTGAGTTAGTTGCTAAGAGGAACATTTTCAAAGTGACATGTGGAACTGCAGTCTCTGGAGTGCCACTTAGACCCCAGTGGCCCAAACACAATGCTTTGAAAATCCAGGCCGAAGAGCAGAGAGGAGGAGCAACTCTTCAGAAGGAGCATGCAAGGGGAAGAACATGAATTTAGATGTTGACATTACTGTTAATTTAATTCTAGATTTCATTGACCAGAAAGATTTTACCCACTCTACTATGGGTAGTGAGGAGTTATTCTGTTGTTAGGGCCTTGTAGGGATTTTTCTTTTTGTAGGTTCATCTGTAGCTAGCTGATAGTAAAATCACAAGGTTCTCTTAAATTGTAGCACATGTGCTGATGTGAACATTTTTAAAAGGAAGAGGAAATGAAACCTCCAGAAATCCAAATGCCTCATTTGTTGGGATTGTCTCATAATGGGGCATCTTGGAGACATTGTGCTGAGATAAAAAAGGGAAATTGTGAAAGAGAGTAAATAATAGTCATCTGGATGTGTCAGGGCAACCAAATATTTTTTGTTCCAGTTCTGTTCTTTACAAAACTTAATAAATTTTAATAATGCAGTACATAGTGTAGTACAATTTGTTTTGAGAAACCTCTGCTATGTATTTGTCTAGCCTTCATTTCATTAAGAAAAGTGCATGATTCCACAGCTTAGAGGGTGGTTCTGTGGAATGAGAATGGATAAAAGAGGTTTATGTCAGGGTTGTTTGGGTTTTTTTGTAGAAACATCTCTATAAAACATAATTTTGTTTCTAGCAGGAATTAAAGTGCCACAAATAACTGTAATCATCTTATGCAGTATTAGGTAAAAACTAATCTCCATAGGTTTTTTCTAAAATTCGGATAAACCCAATCTGCAGTCAGTGACGTATTTCCTGTGGACTTTGAGACCACATCTTGTGGGTTTTTTTTCATGCTTGTGTACCTTTGCCTGAATTTTAAAATGCCATATTTCTAATTAAAATATGCATCACCTTTTTTTTTTAATAGTATTGTACTATTTTTGCAAGATAGTGCAGATGTTCTGAAACTCATCTTAAAAATTGCTGTAGCAAACATTACTGGTACAGAATTTATCATCTGTGTCACAGCCTGCACTTAGAGACTTAGGATACAGTGTTACATTTCCAGTAGGCCAGTTTTTTTAGACTCTTTTCCTCATTCAGCTCACTTTTAAATAAAACTTGATAAAACTTGATAATTGTTAAAATGGATTATTATAACATGTCTTTTAAAACAAGTCAGAAAGGAAGTCAGATGATTTTTCTGCAATCTCATATTACTCTTCTGTTAAAAGATTGTACAAATGAAGTGGCAGTACAAATCAGTAGCGTTACATTAATCTCCAAAATTCCAGAGACCTAGTTAAATCTTGTATTCTTCCATGTTACTGGAAGGTGCCTAGGACAGATAGGGTATATAAAGAGGACATTTCAAAGTTCTAAAGCAAGTTTCCCTTTTGTTTAATTATTTTAGGACATATGTATCTATTAAAAATAGCATAGTCTTTGAGAAATGCAAGTATTTATTATAGCTAGCATGAAGCAAGCCAAAGGCTTGATTCATATGGATTTGTCTTAGTTTGATTTACCTTGGTGTCTACAAAGTTGTGAGCTGGGTCTGACATTTCTCTTGCACTTAGGGCCATGGTTAAATTTCTAGATAGTTTAGGTATGAAAAAAAACTGGAGAGGAACCTATCATAGGAGTAATGATGGAATGTTGGAACATGTCACTGTCATAAAAAGAAAACTCCAAGAATGAAAAATTAGGAAGATTTTGATAGGCATAGCCAGGTATGTCAACTAAGAATAGTGATGAAAAATGGCCCCCACATTATGTAGGCTTTAATGCTGAGAAGAATAATGATACTGTTGACCATACAGGGAGAGGAAGAAAATACAGGAGATTAGTAATAAGGCAAAGAATTTGTTGAGGCATATTTGTGTTTAAGGAGAAAGTTTTTAATGAAATTTAAGAAGAGAGGGAAGGAGGTGGGTCAGAACTTGGGAATAGATATATGAAAAGCAGGATACAAGATAAGAAAAGCAGACCTGCATCACAGTCCTGGGCTGGAGATAAGGCCTGTACCAAAGTAGTGTGAAGAACATTTATAGAGGCCAGAAAATGCAAAAATGGAGTGCTGGTCATACATGGTAGTGCTGAGATTTGGACAAAAGGCATA